AAAATAGTAAAAATATGTTCAAACATATACAACATAGTTTCTCTCACATCCCAAGGGATTAAAAGAAGGAAAATGTATGTGATAGATCATAGTTATTAAATTGATAATGAATTTTAACTAGTAGTGGAATCCTCTGAATAGTTCAAAACAGAATGACCTGGACACCAATTTAAGATTAGCAGGGACTATGTCAACTTAAAGAAATCAATGTATGAACAAATGCCTAACTCACCCAAAACTTTTAGATTGAGATAACTATTATTTCTTGCTCAAGTGATTTTCAATGTAAACTTCCAGAACCATCCACATATTCCACAAACAACATAATAGTTTGTCACAAAAAACTTCGTGTGATAGGTGGCGTGAAATGAATCATGATTGATATTTAGGACTACAAATGACAAGGGGTCCTTGTCTCTGTTTGGAATTGATTGGATGCAAGAATGTTTCCGACTTCTTTAATTTTATATGTTAAATTATGATTTCACCCTTCAACCGAAATAGAGTAAGAGGGCCTCCGAGAGGAGTGGTATTAGGAGTGATAACCTTATAATTGTCAAAATGTTACTTTAAATTCAAAATTTTAGACTTTAATGGGGGTGGCATGCTTGGTTGCAAAATGGTATCAAGGATCTTGGAGTGACATTTTTGACAATTTTAGAGAAAGAAAGGAAGAGGTTGCAAAGCTCTACCGCTCTGTTCAACGGTAATTTTTGTATTCTACTGTTCAATATCAATGGTTCTATTCAACAAAAAAAATTCTATAAATACAGAGATTTTGAAAGAAAAAAATTTGTAAGCTCCCCACTGCTGATTGAAATTGTTGACTCTGTGGGTGTATGGGTCTGTTCAATGGCCGATTAGTGTTTGTGGTTGTTACCAAAACTCCTGGTTGAAATCTTCGTTACCAAAGCTTCCGCCGACAAAGAGAGGGAGAAAGCATGGGACGGAGAGAAAGACACAGAGAGACGAATGGGTGATTTGCGTGATTTTGGAGAAGGGGAGGGAAGCGTGATTTTGGAGAATGGGGAGGGAAGTGTGATTTTAGGGAATGGGATGGCAGATTTAACTTATAATTTATTTTAATTAAGGGTGATTTAATTTTTAATTTGTTTTAGTTAAGTTTAATTATATTTTTTAATAAAAAATATTAAAATATTAAAATGACACCCCATTTTAGTACCAGTTATTAGAGCAGATTTATAATTCAGTAATGCCAAAATATTATTCAAAATTACAAATTAATAATTTGACACCCCAAAATGACAACTCCTTTGGAGTTGCTCTAACATAGTGTGCCGTTTACTACTATCAATATAAATTGGATGGGAATCAATTGTTTAATCACATCTCATATTTTATCCGAACCGAACATTCGCATCTGAGTTACTAAAGGTGGTAATCGTGTCGTGTTCATATTTGTGTCGAGTATTAATCTATTTTAATCCAATCCATTTAGCTAATTGTGTCGAGTCAAGTCGACCTATTTATTTTTTGTAACGTGTTCGTTTTGACCCATATAACAACTGAATAAAAAATTTAACATTCAAATTTAAGTCTAAAATTTAAATGTCACATAATTGAACATATATTTATACTTTTTCTATAAACTAAAAATTAACTTAATAAATATAACAATAAAAATGAGTAAAAATATCTTTTTTTATACAATAATTATGTCACAGCTTGATAAAATATAATAAAAATTAATATTTTATTCTTATAATACTAGTTAAACGTGTTAATCGTATCAATTTTATACTGTTTGTGTTTGACACTAGCACGATTTATTTTTCTTATTAAGGGGTCGTGTCATTTTAGAATTCATGTTAAGAAATGGTCAGTCATGCCCCACTAATTTTGTGTCGATCTGGAGTCGTGTTTTCTTATTGTATCAAAAATAGTCACCTCTAAGAATTACCACTCATTGCTCCAAACCGGAAAAATTTTGGAACGGAACAATGTGAAAATAAGCATAACACCACCATAAACCCATATCATAGCATACACACATACCTATAGATATATTAATTAAAATTGAGTAATTATTTAACGATATTCTGTTCAAATTAAAATGTAATTTATTAAAATTCACCTTTAGTTTAATTATTGGGATAAGATTGACTTTTCTTTAAATGATTCGATATGAACCGTAAAAATTAAGATCGTTGAATAGTCAGATTGAATATAAACTAAGTTTTCAAATCGAATTCAGATCAATTCAAATTCTATCCAAAATCTTATCACTGTGAAGAATTTCTGGCTCCCCCCCGCCCCGATAGTTCCTATCGTGTCTAATTTTATGAATTAACTTTGTGACGATATTATCAATTTAGATACCAATTTTTCAAATATGTAATTGTTCTCATGTATTGCTGCTGTGGGAATATAAAATATTGATCCCGAATTCTTTCAAAAGTTAAGAACATTTAGATCAAAGGATTTCTATGTGAAAATTGACTTTTAAAAAAAAAAAAAAGTTATTAATTTCAGTATTATCAGAATCTTGACCAACAAAAAATAGTTCCCTTAGCAGTTGGCCTAACGGCCGCCGTCCCCATGTTTAGACCTATGGGTTCAAAACTCGTCGTCCTCTTCTCTGTAATAAAATCTAATCAAAAAAAAATTGATTCTAAATAAAAGGCGACCTAAAAAACGTTGGAACAAGACTTTGTTGAGTTGAGTAGTATTATATCTGACTAAAAATACATCTTGAAACCCACATTATTCATCAAAATTGGGTATATTGTCCCAAAAATTTAAGAAAATAGTTTCATCCCACAATATAGAATCAAGATCAGGAATAGGTCCTGGAATCTCTACTTCAGACAAACAAGTAGAATAATTACTCGATGAAGATGGAGGAATACTACATTCCTTGTCTCCTCGTCTCCTCGTCCTCGTCTTTTTCGCAAGCCACCCGGACTGTGGGAGTAGATTTGTTTGAATATTTGTATTGAGATGTTCTTCTTTTGTTTGAGTTTTGGTCCGTGGTTTCTTGAATATTGGCTGCAAAAATAAATCAGTTGGGGAATGAAAAGCAATTTTTTTAGGGTTCTTCGGTGGTCTCCCTCGGCCTCTATGCATCGCCATGGCTATAGTGAAGAAGCCCTTAAATCGTAGATTATTTTGATAGCAAGCGTTTCTTGAATTGCAAGCTACAAAGAATATATAATATAATATTCGTATTATTAATTGTAAAGTTGGTTCAAATCGAATAATATTCAATATAATTTAGTACATTTTACACACAAAATTGACGTAAATTTGAGAAAAGTATCAGACTAATAACCTTAAAATCACAAGCTCGAATCTAAGAACAATTTGTATCTAAGAAGTTGAAGTTGTCAGGCTAATCAAGGTAATGACCCTTTTTATAGGAATTTTAGTTTTATGCTAATCATTGAAGCAAAGAGATTTCCTAGTAAAATTGCTCTGGCTTGTAGTTACAGTTACCTTAGGATTAGATGGGTTTTCAGTACATCCTACTTGGCAATTGAATTTTTTTTTCCCACAACAAACAGGAAACTTTATTAGATATGTGGGTCTAAATAGTTTCCTAAATTGAAGGGGTTTGAGATCTCTAAATATGTCCAAAGGAAGTAGTAGTGTCAATTTTAAGTACCGACACATTTAACAAACACGAACTCGACACGATACAAATTTGAAAATAATGCAAACAATACATATATTGGATTAATGTCGAATATGAAAAACTTAATTTTGAGACAATAAACTTATTTAACTGGTATTGTAATAAATAAATAAATAAATCTACATTTTTTCACTTAAAAATGACATAGACATCTTAATTGAGACCCTTCTAGTAGTATGCAACAAGAGTTAAATATCATAAGATATGAAAAAAGACAACTTTCCCGGTGAAATCTAAGTGGGATTCACTATATAAGTGAGTTCTCCACCAACACGCATTGTCAACCAACCAATTGAGAAAAAAGTATACGGAAAATTTGGAGGCCGGTCCTCTTATATAGACTTATTTAAATATAAGTTTGTCAAGAAAATTTATTTGATTTTAAGTTCGTTTTTTGTCAATTTTATTATTGTAACCCTTCCGTATAAAAATGTTATAAACGACGTTTATGGACACAATAACCAATCATATACATCTCTTTTATAATTGTCTTCAAATTCAACTACAATCTTTCAAACCATAATGTTTTTTTATCTGAAAAACAAGAAATCGGTATTTACCAAAAACCGTTCATATTCAAATTTCAAACTCATTACATTCTATAAAATACAATTTTACTATTCCAGTTTAGTTTGGACTCTATCGACAAAATATTAATAATTAATATCAATTTTTAAGAAATAACAATAGTAACATACTCAATAAAGACAGTAACATGGTCACTAAAAAAATAGTAAAATGCTTACAAAAAAATAGTAACATGTAAAAAAGTAAAAACAATTTGGGATTTAATTTTATCAAAGTGGGCATTAACCTTGTAAACAAGATTCAAGAGAACTCATACATTAGTACCAAATTAAAGTGCTATATATTTCAATTTTATTATTTTTTTTGTTGCACAAGACAATTGAGTATTCCTTGGTTGTGTTACTGTGGAAAAAATTTATGTTATTGTACATGAACCGAAAAATTGAGTTCAAAATTTCGTTGTCTTGATGTTCACAATTGGTATTGAGTGTCGTAATTCAACTGCACCCACGTTTTCATTATCACGTGTTATCACCAACCAATAATTTATTAAAAAAAAAAAAAACCTCACACAAACTAATAACTACTCATTCATGTAAATCAATAACTATCCACTATTCTTTCATATATCAATAACTACTCAAATAAAATTCATTTTCCCTATTTAGGGTTTTATTATTGGATGGTTATAAATGTCATTAATGTTGTCATGATATCACCGTTGCATTAAATATTTTCTCGTATATTAGAGAGACGACCAAAGTAAAAGAGAGAGACTTTAATTATCAAATAGATACTTGAATCCAAGCATTCCTACCCTCTCATTTATATATACTTGAATCCAAGCATTCATACAAAAGGAATGCAGAAGTAACCTAATTAGACAGCATTTAATAAATTGATATGCATACAATTTATATGTTTGTACAAAAATCGAGCACAAACTAGTTTATACACCAAATTACAAGCTTTAAATGGAGAGTTCAGGTAGTGGTGGCACTTATTACTTTCAAAATGGAAGCTTCGGTGAGTGGCCAACTCTATCAAAGATCTGGAGAAAAAAACTGTGATTTACTACTGTTTATCTTGTCCTGTTCCTGAAAGCTCTCCCCCATTCTTGCACTTCGCCGGGGTGACCTTGGCTGGGGTTGAGCGCTCTGACTGAGAGAACTGAATCAAAATGTGCATCAGGAAGGTAACAACGGCCAAGACGATTGCTGAGATTGTGAGACCCTTCCCCGAGGACAGAAGTGAAGACCACATGAAAAATTTTAATGCCCCAAAGGTAATTAGACATGCCCAAGAGAGGACAACCTGTCATTGCAAGTAATTTGCAATTAGTTGAAGGGACAAATACTACAAACCCAAAGCAGCGTAGGACAAAGGGGAAAAAAGGGTATGTTTGCCTAACTAAATATGATCGGTGCAATAGACTTTGAAACTCACCACAAGGGACTTTACTGGCCGCCCGGTGTCTTGTAGTTTTTCATCACCAAAAGTATTCTCGACTAAATGCTTGTCCAATAACTTATCCTGATGAGTTAAAAGCATACAGTTAAGATACTCAAGAAAACTGATCAACAGCAACAGCAACAGCAACCCAGATGAACTATTCACGCTGAGCATATCATGAATAGTGCAAAACTACAAATATATTCATCCACAAGCATATACTTGTTCTAAAGCCAACCCTAAACAGTCGGGTTAAAGCTTTGTTGAGTGGAGACTTGTGTGAGCATACTTGTTATATATTTATACTTTACCCTAACTCATGATGTAACTTCTTCCCCCCCCCCCCCCCCCCATTATGCTAGCTTGTGGAGCCCAATAACATCACTACAGGTCAAAAAAGTAGAGGTAAATCGACCACTAATAAGAATTTAAAAAACAAAGTGTGCACCTTGGCCACAAAGATATCACGACACCATTGAGCAACAGCATCATCGGTTTCGGGCAAATCCTTCATCAAATGTCGCTGAAGGTGCACATGCACCTGCACAGAAGTAAATTATTAAAACCACTAGAAAAAAGGGCATCTTAAAAGTCAGAATTTTCCAAAACTACAAACAACTTTTAGGCATGAGTTAACATAACCAAACTTAATTAAACATAAGGCAGGTATATAATGACAAACACCTTGGAGGCATCAAATGTATGATATTTTATAAATGAAATTTATATATTATTCTGGATTATAACACTTACGCTTATCCCTTAAACGATGCACTGCTTTTCGCAGAACCAATTTCAATCACATTACCACATACACAATATTTTCCTTAATCCTGAATTCCTTCAAATTAATGACTCCTATAATCCCAAACCTGTCATAAGAATCCTATGGGCTTCATCTTTTAGCTTTTTCACTCTGAACAAAAATGCTAGGAAATTATTTCACTCCCTATTTTTATCTGAAGTACCATTTATGATTGGGTTTTTCGCTTTTTTTAATATTTTTTTTTGTAGTTTTCTTTTATTTATTGGAAGGGACCACAACTTTTTACATCTAATTAACAATCACTTAAAATATCCCCAAGTTCGGACCATATTTTTGTGGAGCATATTGACATTGCCCCTTATTGATTTGAAGCAACATTAATGATAATATCATCAGAACACAATCAAGCACTAATGAAACGTCCCACACGTGTACTTATAAGCATCAATATAATAAGGATTTTGCAAAAAAGGCAATAAGCAGATTTCTTTTGACCAAATTCAGAAATTTACCCCACTAAGTTGACTCTAAACCCACATCTAAACGCCATCACATATGCAGACTGATAAACACCACCGTCCAAATTTATAAGATTTTGCAGGCTTACCACAGAAGATTGCCCCTTAAAGAGTCTTAGCATCGTGGGTGCAGGCGAACTTTTGGGAATAGCCACTGTTACATCATAAATGGCTGGAACAAACGTGCGCATATGACTTACTGCTGTAACAAAGCCCTGAAAGCAACAGATGGATGGTTGATTCTTCATGTAAACTGGGAGATAAAATAAATATTGGAGCACAAAAGATAGAAAGCTATGCATTGCACGAAAGAGAGAGTTCACAAAATTTGATGGTATCTTTCCAACGTCCTGAACTGTTTGTCTTTCCAAAAACCTGGAGTAAGCAAAATTTTTTGATTGTCTGTGCAATCCGCAATTTACTCAGACAGCCCGTAAGATCAAAGGAATTTTGAATACTACGCAAGTCTAGTTTAACTGCATTTTGGACATTTAAAACAATCATCAACTATCACTAAATTGCTAGATAAACACTAATTGTGGAAGCTGATGCAAAAAAAAGGTTCTGAACCAAACAAAACATTCCCAACCACAAACATGAGCCCTAAATTCCTGCTGACCATTTACTTAAAGGTTACTGTTCACATGAAATAGAATGCCAAAGAAACCCAAGAATTTCCGGATTCTGGAATACCCATAAGTATGACACCACTATCAAAGGAATATGGAAAAGACAAGCAACGGAAAAAGAACCACAGTTTCTGTTTTGGAAGTAGGTGATGTAAAAGTCCAACCTTTGTACGTGGAATCAAAACATTCCTAGGAACAGGCAATCCTGCTGAGGTGGCATATTCTTGAGCTGCTAAGAGCTTTGCCTGTGTAAACCGTGTCCCCTCGACAAAAAGTGCCAACCAGAAGGCATGAGGGAAATCCCCTAGCCGCTGAAAACTTGACTGCAAATACAATCCCAAAAAATCCAGTTATGATCAATTAAGGCACACAATTGAAAAACAACCACCCCCACCCCAAATTTCAAAAAGAAGATGAATGAAAAACAAACACCCACAAATAAGAGAGATGTATGTACATCTACAGAAACAATACATCGTCAGAAAGGAATTAACGCTGCTGTACCTTCAACGTGATTTCATCCTTGGCCCAGTTTCTTTCAAGGAAGAGGTACTCAGAAAACCACATTGACCAACCTATAACCTGGCATGTATCGAACAGAGCTTTCTCAACAAATACGATTAGTTGCTCAAAGAAAAAGGTAAATCAGAATGAGTAATAAACTTCAGAAATGTTCACCCGGAAAAATAAAAAAGACAAATCTTGGCGCAACATAAAAATCTGCAGTAAGAAAATTGACCCAGAGAAAAACGCCTGCCCTTTAAGAACTTGATGGTCGCAACTTTAAGTCAGCTTTAAATCAAAAGGCTTCACCTCATTCATGATATATCACAGTAAGTCGAGTTAAAATACTTACAGGAAGGAGTTTTGATGATTTCTTCATTACAGCTACTGTGCTGCCAAGGCAACCTGATCGCTATCATAGAAAGATCCGATAATCAATCAGCAGAAACTACCATAAACTATAGATGACAAAAAAAATGGATCTCAAATGGGATAGTACAACAATTTCATAGCTTTCTTTTGACCAAAGTATATCTTCAGTGTACTCAGTATGTATGCATATAACTACCTGCATACATATTCATAAATTAAGCATATACATACAAATACATGATTTTCATATATGCATATACATATGTAAAACATATATGCATGTAGATATTTATTGATTTATAGGCTGGCTTTGGAGCAGTAGTAAGATTTCTCCATTTTGGCCTGGTCGCTATGAGTTTGAGTGACGGAAACAGTGTTTCCACAAGCAGAGTAGGCTACATACATCTGTCTCTTCCGAGACTCCACAATGACAAAAGTCTCGTGCCCTAAACTGCCTTCTTTGTACATATGTGTAAGCACATCGGTGCATGTAAGATATAGATAGAATAGGAACCTGAGCCAAAATCCATCCAACAAGCCAGTCAATGTCACTTCTGTGATTAGATATGACAAGCGCATGTTCTTTACCTGGAAATTTTACCAGCATAACCCAAATCAGGAACCACCCAGCCAAACTGAACGACAAACAATATTTATCTTTTGTCAGATACAAGGAAGCAAAATGGAAATCAAACAAATATAATTTCTAGAGTTACCCAGAAATCTAAAGGTTTCCGAATCTGTGTACAGTTGAATCTGCAAACAGAAGAATCTTACAAATCAACAATCGAACTTTAGATAATTCACAAACTGCATAACAAAATCTCACATCATAAGAAATGCCTCCTATTGTCATTTTGTTTCTTTTCCTTTCTTTCTTGACATGTAGTGCTTCATAAGCTACCAGATCATAACTTAAATAAACGTAATCATTACTAAAAAGAACACCCCCCCCCCTCTTCCTAACTTCAAAATGAAAAGTAATGAGCTAAAACAAGAGTAAAGAATATTTTGAAAACAATATTACAAGAAATTCTCAACTTAATGACTTCTTGAAAGAATAGACACAGCAAAACACACTTGAATGATTTCACAGACCAACTGTGATATGTACACAGGCAAATAGAGTTTTGCGTATTGTACATTAGTTAGGATGTTGTCCTTGTGGGGGATTAATATCACATGTCAGTCAGGTAAACATGTGTTGTGAGTCATATTACAAGTTGTGCATAAGATTGTAACCATTGCGGTTCTTGAATTTATATATTGTTCTGTTTAATAGCAATATTAGAAATAATTTTTACTTGCAATTTAGGATTCTCTTGGAGAATTGTAGAAGGCAGAACATGTCTCGCTAATACTTCAAAAAAGCTCCAAAAAAAAAAAGAAGATAAAAAAGCGTCATAAAAAGTGACATAGACTAGTAGCAAAGGCAAATAATTAGAACAAGGCATTGAAATTCACTGCAATTCAATGCCTACCATATGACAAACGCCAAGGGTTTTTCCGTCAGGTATAACTAACCGAATTAAGGACAACAATACCAATTGTTAACTTCTCGGGAGTTTGGAATAACAAACATGGAGATAAGCACAAGGGAAAAGATTCAATCAGTTTTTATCTAAAATCTTGACCAATAAACACCAACCTCAAGTGTATGACATATAGCCTCCCAAAAATAACTCCATTTTCATTTCCCAAATATTTTTGAGGTAAAAGTTTTCACCCCCTTTTTACTATTGCAGGAAAGAGTGAATTTATAAACATTATAGGAAGGCAAGAATATACAAGAACATTTACAAAAAGGGACCGAAAGATTGCAGGCAGCGAGAGTCAAAGCCAACACATCTGAGTTCACAATTTGTTCTGATGGGCTACACATTCAGGTTACCATCCAACCATTTTAACATTCAAGAACAAGACAAAAAGACCACCATCAATTGTAATGTACAAATCCTTTTGTCACCACAAAACCCCTTAAATAGGCCATTTAAAAGCAAACAACTTGACTACACAATTAACAGCACGGTTAAGCACAACCTTTACAACAATGATGGACATCTAAATCTTAGTATACCTCTGTAAAAGCTATGGTAATTCTGCCAATACGATGTAGGCAACCTTCATCTTGCATTTCAGATCTAGGATCTGCCTAATTGTTACAAACTTGTAATTATAAAAGTTTTCCTTCTCAATCTCACATTGCTATAAGTGAAGTGAAAAAAGGCAAATAGTCCAGTTTACTAACGTCTTTGGCACCAAATTTTCCAGTTTCAAATCTTCCATATTTGAAATTTCAAACCAATGGAGAACAAGAAGAAAAACCCAGGTAGTTCCAACTTCCACCAAAAGTCCTTTCGAATAGAATAATAAATACTAACTAGAACTGAATCAAGTATTGGTGAAATGAAGATATCATATCCATTGCCCAACAACCGAAAGGCAGGCCAATGAAGTGTCATGTATCCATTACAGAAGAATAACATGAGCCTGCTGAACAGAATGCATGACCTCCCATGTCATCACAAGATAACTCATAAGCCAACCAAGAGGGGAGACCAAGGGAATGGCCCAGTAATTAAAGGCTCTACTCCTGCAGTCGGAGTATGACGATGATGTAACGAATGTGTAACCATCAAAAAATCATGGTACAAAAATATAGATCAGAACAGAAAGGCAGCTACTGTTGAGACCAAAAAGGCAACAAGAGCCTTCAAGATCGAGAGGAAAAGACATGAGAAGAATCAGAATTCCACCACCAAGGCACCAACACTACCTGACAGAAGGGAAAAAAAAAATACAAAAGCCCAATCGCACTTCTCATGCTGACACAAATGATGTATTGAAGGCATTGGCTATGATCAATCTCCCCAAATGTCAGCTGCCTTCCCACCTTCAAGGAGATGACCTAGGGAAGACACTAACACTTCATAAATTACTACACTAGATATTATTAGGTCTTTAAAATACATTTTTGAAACATGAATACCCATAAGGAGCTTATGCTGTTTGACTAGCACTCCTTCAAACATAAATCAACAGGTGCAAATATTATTTACTCCTCAAGGCAATCATTAAGATGTCAATGTCTCCTGTCACCAGGTATGGAACAAAGAACAAGACACCAATCCTCTTGGCCCAACCATTACCAAGCACCATTCTTGTAAAGGAAATGCCACCTAAAAAACACTGCCATGTTTTGGAAGTCCTGTACAAACTGTGAAAAGATTTCATTCCCAAATCATTGTTAACTTTGGATTAGATAGGCTTCGCCTTCTATGTCCACTGTTTTTTAAAACTTGGTTCCATTATTTCTCTGTTTAGTGAGAGTTAAGATCCCCTTTCTTGCTTCTAGACTTGTTATAATTGCCACTTCCTCTCGCTTAAAGGGCAACCACACCCTCCAAGAAACAATTAAGTGGTTGGCAAGTTCTTAGCTCAGCCAGATCAACCTACCTCGCACAAAAGTGAATTAGAAGTCAACATTGTTACAGACAAGTACGGGTACAAAGTATGATAGCTATGTATATAAAATTATAAGCGGATAGCCATGATGAGGGTTCTGTGTCACTGCAAGATAATTATATGTAGAATTCGTAAATGGGGATTGATAATAACCTTAACACTTGCCCACCAATCAACGAGCCATATGAGTTCCAGCCACAACAACTCCGCCAACACTCGATTAATCCTTCTGTATGTATTCTTTGAAAATGTCCGTACAAGTACGAAGCAAATTGCCTGAAAAAAGGGGTTATTCTTAATGCTATCTTCTTTACAAAGGAAAACAATGTACTAATAGTAATAAACCTAGTAACACGAATATTACCCATAAAAGCTCTAAAAGCATTGAAATTTACATGAAATTGACCAAAAATCTCCCCAAATCCTTGGCCAGAACGATTCAATTTGAACAAAGCCCCCACAGAATCAGCTCAATCGAATCAAATCAATACAAAATAGTACACCGAATTTGAACACACGCGGAACTTGATTGTTTTGTTAATACATTTCGGTTACCTGAATGAGATTGATGACGAGACCTGAGATAAAGAAGAAAACACCCAACGGAACTACAACAGCTGCCGCTGCAATCGTCATGCCTCAGCTCCACGGGAGAATCGTCAGTTTCAGAGTCAGAGCATTGAGGCACTGAGAGAGAGAGACACACACACACACACAAACACACAGCACACAGCGTGGAGTTAATTTTCGATCAACTGCTGAAACATTAATGATGTCTGTGGTGGAGAGAGAGAGTCGGTGTCATCCTGTCAGGCACCGTCCGCTTCGCATGTAGCTTTAATTTTGGGGAGGTAGTAGTAAAATTTATAATAAATTAGATTTAAAAATTAGATTGGATAATTTTAATCATTGATTTTATTATGAGTTTTAGTATTTATTGAAATTCATTATCTATTCAATAATTGTGATTATTAAATTTAATTTTTAAATTTATATAACGTTACCCAATACTTTAAGGGCATGTTTATAATTTTTTAATAAAAGTTATAATTATAAAAGATATACTCAATTCTAAAATATTATAATTTATAAGAGAATTTATAAATTTTAAATATAAAATTATAGTACTTGATAAAAGTATAGATATAATGATTAAGGGGAATGCATTAATATTCCCTCGATTAATGCATTCCCTCCCACCCACAAGTGTAACATTAGTGACAGACGAGAATATTAATATTTTTGAGATATAATTTAAAATGAGAAATTATAAATAATTTTATGTGTATTAAATTTGTGCACAAAAATTTACATTATATTAACTGTAGTCTTTGAATCACTAATAGAACCTATTGATCTAATGATTATAAGTGATTTGGTATAAATTTTGATACATATTTTTAGTGCACATAGCCTTATTTATAAATTATTTAAAAAAATTAAGCATGTAATAAAAAAAATTGATACACAAAAAGATTGCATAAGAGTTTGGTAAAACATTTACCTTGTCCATCAACCAATGGAGAAACTATAAAATCTCTCGCAAGCATCCTTTTTTAGGTTGACATTCGGCTTTGTCCTTGTTTGTTTGATTTTAACTCATTATTTTGATTAATTTGTATCTTGTCATGTCCATAATTTTGGGATTTATTGAATTGTATCTTTAGATTGATAATAAAATTTATTTAATATTAAAATTTACTAATAATCGAATAATCACAATCATTAAGGCTCAAATCATATCTCAAGCAATTGTGCGGAGGAGACAAGAGAGCATGTTCTGCTCAGGTTTTCCTTGAGAAGAGTATAAATTCACAAGGTAACCCTTTTAATGGCCCCTTTTTTTTCCCTGGACTATTCTGGACTCCAAAGATTTTCCAGTGTCATGATGTCGACAGTGAAGAGAGAGACTTGAAATCAATACTAAAAATGAAACGTAATTATATATTTCGATCATTTTTGATAAATAGGCCGATAAGATAAGAAGGTAATAATTATTTCTAATTAGTATTACTCGGAAATGTGATGAGGTTAAAAATGTTCATTTTTTAAGGTTTTAAAATATAGGAATAATTATTTTTTACCTCATTGTGGTTTTGGATAGATGCATCTTATTTACTTGACATTTAAAATTATACATATTACCCTCTTAAAGTTATGTACTAAAATAAAATAATTAATACCGTTAATTTTAATAGAATAATAAAATTATCATACTACCCTTTTTTTGGTCTGATTTACTCTTAATAATATTAGTCAAACAACTGGCCAAAAAAGAAAAAAAAAATTAGTCAAATAGCATCCAACCAGATATTCTCACTCGCGCCTCTCTTTCTCCCAACTCTAGACTTCTATTGCTGATCGAAAACCAAAACTCTCACAAAATCATCCCATCCAACCCTACTCCCCCCCCCCCCCCCCCCCCAAAAAAAAAACAAAAAAGAAATCATCCCATCCAACCCAACCCAACCAGCAACGGCTCCCTGGCAACTGTCCTCTCTCTCCTGGTCTCTTCTTTCTCAGTCTCTTCCCCAAATTCATGCCAACAGGCGGCGATTCCCTGGGCAAACATCTTCCCCCCATCCCTCTTCTGCGTCTTCACCACCTCCTCTCTCTCTCTCTTGCGAGCATTAGCGCCCAGCCCTAACAACAGACCAACTCCCCTTCTCTCTTCTCACACATAAACTGTTCGACAAAATTCCCCAAAAGATCTTACTCTTACTCGCTGCCATCTTTGTTCACTGATTGGTAAACCTCTCCATACTTCTCTTCCTCCCAAGTCTGATCTCTAAAACTATCTCTCTTATTCTGTTTTTGTGGATTAGTTTTGGCTGTTTGCTTAACGTGGTTTTTGACGTAGCTGCTGTTAATTTAATAGGCTCTGTTTCAGTTCTTTGGGTATTCATCATTTTGCTCTTTATTTTTCAATTTGTGATTCCTTTTTTTTTCTCCCGTTTTGTCTTATGAAACTTGAAGTGCTGCTTAACTCAAGAACCCAGTGCATGAAAAATCATTGCATGTGTAGGCAATTTTTTTACCTACTGAATAAGGAGAATATAAATCACTAGCATTTAATTGTGTCATCTTGCATTGCGACTCATTGGTTCTTGATATATAGTTTCAGTTGTTATTGAAAATCGCAAATCTGACATTCTAAAATCTCACAGGTTTTGGGCGGATTGGAAGGTTGGTTTTACGAATTGCAACTTTGAGGGGATGATATGGATGTGGTAGCAGTCAATGATCCCTTTGTTGATGCTAAGTACATGGTAAGAGTGTGTAATTAGCTGGTAGTTTGACCATTCTTTTATTGATTTCTTAGCATTGTTAGGACACTAGAGTAGTGCTGAAATTGTCAGGGTATAGGCTCAAATATGAATGCAGCCACTTCGTTCAAGTATTGCCAAAGGTGCACATTCCATAAGCCAATATGGTGCTCTACATGGCAATCTATGAATTACAAAATAATTTGTTCCTTATATTATTAACGTGGTTTTGGATGTTTATTTGTTGTTTAAGTCACCTAGGGGTTCTTTTTTGACATTCAATTTGTTTAGTGTCATATAATGCTAATGCTTTCTTTTCTATGTGATGGGTTTTCTTACATTTGCACCATTATTGAGATATAGGGAAGCTTGACCAAAAAGATCGAGTTTTCTTGAAGAACTCTTCTCTGCCGTTTACCTTATGTCATTTCTTTAACTTTCTTAAATTTGTACATTTTTTCTTTAATTAATAGTAATGTTGACGAACCCACAACACAACACACACACTTGGGCGTTAAATTTGAGTGTTAAATAGAGTGTGTGAAATTTCAATTTGTTTTTTATTTTTTTTCAATTGTATTCTTCAATGTTTGATTCTTCAATTTCAATGTTCGATTTTTCAATTGCCACGTGACGAGGTCGAGAGTAATTGTGAGTTTGAAAATTGAGTTTTTGATGTGTAAATGAGGGATTTTTATCCTGATGTAGCGAAATGGGTGTTTGCTTCTATAGACATGTGGAGTTTGTGAAATGATTTGAAGTAATTTTTGTTGTAATATGTGATCAAGCTACTCTTTTTTGGCAAGCCAAAGATTGAGCATTTATGGCATAAGGGAGTGATCTTTGCCTATTAAATACATGAAAACAAACAAAAACACTCAAATACACACACACACACATGTATATTTACATCTATCTAGATACATACATAGAGGCATGTAACTATTGGTCAAATATTTTGATGTGAATGCCTAATAATTTTTTTGGTTTGAACGAGGTGATTTGAATTACAGTGCAGGCACTTCAGGTGATGTACACTTCATTGAATAATCCCTCACAGCTATCTGGTTGGAAATCAAGTGGTGTTGTCCGTGTGGAGAGTCATGGAAGGGGATCACATGCCAGGCGCTACTGTTGTTTCTATGTGAGTGTATATAATACAAGAATAGCCTTTTTGTGGTGATCTCAAAGCAGGATTATATGATACAAGAATAGCCTTTTTGTAGATTGTATTCTGTGGTCTAAGAATGACTTAGTGAGTCATGAGATGTATTTTTTATTGTTTAACAGTCATATTTCCGGGTTAGGACTCAACGGAACGATGGGATACTCGCTGAACAGCCTTACATCCTTGATAACAATTTAAGAGTATTCTTTAGAGTCTTTAACGTTCCAAAACATTGCAATTGTATTTTTTTCCCTCAAAATTTTGGCTGACATGTTATTAATGTTATTGTGATCTGTTGTTTATTTTAGGGATTTGAGTGGCAACAACATCCATGATTCAATTCCATACCAGTTACCACCAAATCTTACAAGCCTGTAATATTTAAATGCATTAAATGATGTTTTGTTTGAAAAGCCATTTAATTCAAGGCTTGATGTACATTACTTATCCATTTGTCTGATGCAGAAATCTGGCAAACAATAATTTAAGCGGGAATCTTCCTTATTCCATTGCCAGCTTGGTTTCTCTTAGTTATTTGTGAGTGGCACATTCTGAATGCCATTGATCTTCATTGTCTTAAATTTTACACTATTAATTATGAGTATCAATATACAGGTGTGTGTGAGTGTGTTGTCTCCATTGTTATCAATATACTTGATGAGTTAAAGGATCATCTCGGTAGATCCAGTGATGTGACTGAGAAACGAAAGGAAAGGGTTGCTGTTGATAGGAGGATGGCTCCACCTATGGGTGTTGATATGAAAGCAAATTGCAATAGATAGAATTGTTCCAGCTCCCTATTTCGATCATTATTGTGGGCCTCTCCCCTTCTATGAACCCCCGCTTCACCCAAGTTCTCCCATTTCTGTGCAACCCACCATTTGTTCTTAATTGTGACTTTAAAAAACCAAGGGTGGATTAATAGCCTTTTAGAATGATAAAATATATAAATTGTGCATACTGGTTGAAATTTTTAGAATGATAATATCATTGAGGCGTGAATTTTTATTTTTCAGGTTCGAGTTTTGTCCATTTTTTTTTAAAAAAAAAGTGGTTATTGTGATTTATTATTAGAATTTTTATTTTTGATATAGGTAATACTTTGTTAATCATTTATGTAAAATGTGGATGTATTAAGCATGCATTTTAGGCTTTTCAACTTAGTGTCGGTCCAAGTTTAATACTTGATTATTTCGTGTTCACGATTAATATTCGGTGTTTGTTTATTTTTAGCGTGTCTATATTAAGTGTTTGATTGTTTCGTTTTCAAGAGACAATGTAAGTTTTTTTTTTTTTGTTTTGAATTGCACAATTTCAGGCACGGATTATGGGGACAATTTAGGCTTTTGACTTAGTATATGTTCGAGTTCAGTACTTGATT